ATTCTATTTTTCAGTTACAGTTTATATTCAGTATTATTTTGTATGAGTTTCAGCATAGTGATTCGATTAGATGTTCTGCCCTCCAGAACATGGGGTGGCAGTGTCATCTCCATGGCTCAGCTGGGTGACACGGTACCTTCATCTCCCTGTGGGGACCCTCTGCCTTGTCGAAACCAAGGAAGTGATTCTAACTTTGAAGTCAATGGGGCAGCCCTGATTACCTCTGAATTGCCTTTGGTGTCATTCTTTCCTTCTCTTGAAGAACAATAGTGTTACAGGGTCTGGGCCCAGAGCTAGGCTACCTTGGGCAGACTGGTAGCGTGTGGGTTCTTAACTCCATGTAGAAAAAATATCACAACACAAGTCTAAGTGCTTTTGAGAGTAAGTTCATTAGAGCTGGGGACAGTGAAATAAAGACAGGACTTAAGGCAGAAGAAGCAACAGGAGAGAGGAAGTTAGAGAATAAGGGGTCTTGGAGACAGGTTCAGAGGGTAAGCCCAGGATGAGCTGCCACTGCCCACTGCTCCCCTGGTTGCACGTTTCCTGGGGTCCTTTAACATTTTGGAGGAAAACAGCAGAGATAAGAATATGTGGGTGTACTCTAACAAGAGAGCATGAGCTGGATCCTTTTGTCTTGAGGCTTTTTATCTCTCTTTGGCAGGCTGGACTCCTAGGGGAGGTCTCAGGGGAAGGTCTTAACAGAACATTCATTAGCTTTTCAGGTGTGTCCTTCAATATGTTGATTCAGCAAAGTGTGCATAAAGGGGGTGGGGGGGTCAGGTGTTATTTTCTGGTTCATTTTGTTTTTGAAGAACATAGTTGTTAGGGTCACTGAAGGAGGAATGCACAAAGTCAAAGAGGTAAAGAATTATAAATTTACTAGAGGTCCAGTGCTCGAAATTCATGCAAGGGGCTTGGCCCTAGCAGACACAGTGGCTTGCCTCAGCCCTCGCAGCCCCGGCTTCATCTGGAAGGTCGTCCAGAAGGAGTCTGTAAGGTCTTTCAACTGTCTGGTTTAATTAGCATATTACGCTTTTATTATTATAGATTAGGTAATCTGTAAACCAAATGGGCTGAACCCCGAAATGGCGCCAATAC